TCTAGTCTTTTTATAACTAACTTTTACAAAACACAGCGCTCATAGTAGATCACAAGCTAGTAGATCACCTCTCCTAACTTCCATAAACTACTTATCAACAAACATTTCTAACAATCTTAGTCATAATAAACTTCTATATCAAAGACACCCAAATTCAAGGTTTCCATCCACTTATTTTCTTTCAGTATCAATTTGTTAACTCCCATTCTGATGAGCAGAGACTGAAGCCAAAGGCTAATTTTGACCTTGCTTCCAGAAGCCCTGCTTATTCCAATTAATCCTTAACTATGTAGTGTTCTATTTTACTAACTCATGGTGGCTGAAAGCATTCAATATGGTTGCACTCAGTTTGATCAAAATCTGGGGGGCACACACTCCTGAAATCCAGAGCAACAGCAAGACCCCAATCAATGTGCCTTTCCAGCTTGACTGTGAACTGTTCTCTGGGAATGGTTTTCCAACCAGTTATGCACTTACCTTATAGTAGCTCCATCTAGGTTGGATTTCCCTAGTTTGTTTATGAGAAGGTTGTGTGAGACAGTATCAAAAGCCTTACTAAAATCAAGGTATACCATATCTACTGCTTCCCCCCATCCACAAGGATTATTACCCTGTCAAAGAATTATAATTCTGTACGATTTTCCTGTTGTGTGGGTGACATAATACAGGAGAGTATGATTCAGAAGTGTATTTCACATGCAGTTAAACACATCAATTTATTTTACGTAACCCTGCTTTACATGTCTTTTCTTCCAGAAATATGAACTAGACACTTTGTACACATCTACCAGATATTTAGAGTGTTATTTTGCTGCAGACAAAGCAAAGGTAAGTATTTTTTTCTAACTTTAAATTATTTTATCAGTGATCCTTCTGCACTTAAGTCACCCATTAAAAGTATATATGCAACATTGACGTTCGATTTAAGCATTAGGATGTGAATCATTCTGCTTAGTCATTGGCTAGAAATATAAATATACCCTTCAGTTGATGAAAGTTGGATATTTTAAAATCAGCCGGTCCAGATAACTTGCATTGAACAGTTTTAAGAGAGCTCGCTGAGTAACCTGGCTGAACCACTCATGTTGATTTTCAATAAGTCTTAGAAAACTGGGGATGTTCCAGAAGACTGGAAGAAAGCTAATGTTGTGCCAATATTTAAAAAGGGTAAATTTGATGACCCAGTTAATTATAGGCCTGTCAGACCCGCATCGATCCCAGGCAAGATAATGGACTTGCTGATACAGAAATTGATTAATAAAGAATTAGAGGAGGGTAATATAATTAATGACAATTAACATGGATTTATGGAAAATAGATCCTGTCATACTAACCTGATACCTTTTTTCATAAGATTACACGTTGGGTTTATAAAGTAATAGTGTTGATGTAACAGACTTCTTTAAGGCATTTGGCTTGTACTGCAGAACATTTTGATTAAAAAAATGGAATGATATAAACTTAAGATGACATACATTACATGGATTAAAACTGGCTAACTGGTTACTTCTTTGAGTAGTGTCCCTGTGGGGCTGCACTTCAGATTCTGGTGCATCCCTGCATCATAGATTGGAGATTTTCAGTAGCAGTGCTCAGTCGGGGTGTACATGTGCAGTAGTCCTCACACGGTGCCATTGGCATCTCATCTAGCGCTCATGTGACCCAACCCTTTCAGTTTCTTCTCAACCATCCTTGACTGCAGACAGAGCTCAGTGGCAGTGCTGCCTTTTCACTTACTCTAGAAATAAATAAGTTAGTTTTAATTTAGTAAGTCTCTGTACTTAGTTAGCTTAGTTAGATAGTTTTCTCCAAAAATGAAAACCCCCTTAACCCCATTTTTATTGTTCTTTCCCCCTTCCCCACTGGGGAACTTTTAACAGTCATGATGCCAGATTCTCCATGTTTTAAACAATGTGACTCTTGCTGTGAGGCTATGCCAGTCTCCGATGGCCATTCTATGTGTGTCTAATGTTTTGAGGAGACTCATATCCCTCAAAAATGTGCCCACTGCAGTAACCTGAAAGCCATGGCACAGCGTGACAGAGACCTTCACTTCAAAATGATCCTAATGGAAAAGTTCCTCAGACTACTGATACAGGACCAAAACCAGTGTCAGCAGATAGCTCCCTGGGCAAAACCTCTGCTAAAGAAAGTGCTCAGTCTTCCAAAGTTTCTAGGAAGCAAGCCGTGATCTCCCCTCACAGGGACACTTAGAAGAAGAGGTCCCCAGTGAGGTAGCTGTCCTCGTTGCCAAGCTCGACTAGATTTATTATATTTTAGGCTCTGGGCACCTCCGGCACCATCCCTCTGCGGACTTCTGCTGAGGCCAACCATACCAACAAATTGTCGAGGCACAGACAGTGCGTGACACTAGACA